GTGGCTCATGATGGCTCCCTGTAGCCTGCAAGGAAATGGCAAAGGTGCTGTTTGGGGACTGGGCCTGAGTCTGGGGCTTGGATACTGATTGACAAGCTTTACCCACGATTTATTTTTATCTTGGATCAAAGGTACTTAGATGCTCTCAACTCCAACATCACGGCAAACAGTGTGCTGAGCTTAGATGCAAGGTGTGCGGCAAGCAACATGTTACCAACCATTTCAGTACCTGTGTTTGCAGAGGCCGTTCCTTAAAGAATTTCAAACTAAGAAAAGTTGCAAATACCGTATAAAGAACTTTTTCCCTCAGAATCATCTGAGAGTAAGTTGTCAACGTGATGTCCATCATCCTTTAATACTCTCATGTGTATTTCCTACAGACAAGGACTTTCTTTTAGGTAACCTCAATACAATCACCAAAATCAAGAAGTTAACACTGATACATTTCTACCATTGAATCCTCAGACCCCATTCAATTGTGCCAGATGTTCCAATATATTCCTGTAGAAAACTGATCCAGGCTGGGCACAGTGGCTCATGCCTGTAATCACATTACAGGCTCATGCCTGTAAAAACATTTGGGAGGCTGAGGGGTGCAGATCACCTGAGGTCAAGAGTTCGACACCAGCCTGGCCAACATGGCAAAACCCCGTCTCCACTAAAAATATAAAAATTAGTCAGGTATTGTGGTGGGCACCTGTAATCCCAGCTACTCAGGAGGCTGAGGCAGGAGAATTGCTTGAACCCAGGAGGTGGAGGTTGCAGTGAGCCAAGATTGCACCACTGCACTCCAGCCTGGGCAACAACAGAGCGAGACTCTGTCTCTAACAAACAAACAAAAACGATCCAGTTCAGAATCAAGTGGTGCCTTTCGTTGTCGTTTTCCCTCACCATCCTTTAGTTTAGAGCTGTCACTCGTCATTCTTTGACTTTCATTACCTTAAGACTTATCCAATTCACTGACGTATCCAATTCTTTCTTCTTCCTTTTTTTTTTTAACGGATGGAATTTCACCATATTTCCCAGGCTGGTCTTGGAATTCCTGGGCTCAACTGATCCACCAGACTTGGCCTCCTAAAGTGCTGGGATTACAAACATGGGCCACCGTGCCTGGCCCATATTCCCATAATTCTTGAATACTTCCTTGCTTTCTGGCACCAAAATAATTTCCAAGCCAATCTTCCCTGTTCTGGTCCTGAAATCAGCCAGGGTTTTTTCAAGAATCTCTGGTTTATTTTAGTGGACAATGGTTTTTAGAAGCCACAATGAGAGCACTAGCTAGAAGGAAGATGCATGTACATACATACACGTATATTTTTGTCTACCCTCAATGCTGAAAACCATGTGGTGACACCAGTGATTCTAATTTTGATCAACACCATAGGGTCCATGCAAGTTTTCTCCCTTTTTATATCTGTATCTGCCTTGTCTGTTAGTGAGAAACCTGGCTTTCCTTATCCTAGGCATGCTTACTGATTTCATCAATCCAATCTCCTCTTGTTGCTGCTGCCCCTCTCCTGTGTGGATGGCCTCCTTGCCTATCCAGGCTACACCTGCACCAGTGGACACCTTCCTCATCCTGCAAGAGCCTGACATCCCAATTGGGCTACCAAGTCCCCCCCACCTCCTCGAGCGCAGGTGCCTACCTTCCTTTTACTTCAGGACCCAAGTGTTCAGGAATAGAAAGGAAGGGATGGGAAGGACAAGGGAGAGAGAGAATAGAGTTATAATTTTTAAAAACAAATTAGAGCAAATTGTCTTCTTCACACTTATGTTCCGATGTATCTTCTTTTCCTCACTAGAATGTAAACTCTATGAGATGGAGCCTGTGTGTATTATTTGCTTAACACCTAGCATGTTTCCTGATACAAAGTATGTGAGTTTAAAACTTTTCAATAAATAAATAAAAACAGCCTTACAGCTACCATGTTGGGAAATGCACGTAACCTACAACCCAGCTTATCCAAGTTTCCACCTGAAATCTGGCTGTGTTACATGTGTGTGGCACACGGTGTGTATTCAATAAATGCCTCTCGAAGCTGGGCACAGTGGCTCACACCTGTAATCCCAACACTTTGGGAGGCTGAGGCGCCCGGATCACTTGAGGTCAGAAGTTCAAGAACAGCCTGGCCAACATGGTGAAACCCTATCTCTACAAAAAAATACAAAAATATAGAAATTAGCTGGGTGTGGTGGTGCATGCTGTAATCCCAGCTACTTGGGAGGCAGATGCAGGAGAATTGCTTGAACCTGGGAGGTGGAGGCTGCAGTAAGCTGAGATCACATGACACTGCACCACAGCCTGGGAAACAAAGAGAAACTCTGACTTAAAAACAAACAAACAAACAAACAAGAAAGCAAACAGAAATGTTTGTCGAGTCAAGAGACTCAAGTTGTTGTCTGATGCATACATTTTATGTCATGTGTGTCACAGTGGGAAAAAAGGTTGGGAAATACAGTTTTAAGTGGCTGTCTTCATCCAGTTCCTGTTGTTTATAACAGAATACCTAAAAAAAAGGGTAATTTACAAAGAAACAAAATGTATTTCTTATAGTTCTGGAAGCTGAGAAGTTCAAGGTTGAGGGGCTGCTGGTGGGGACTCTCTATAGAGTCCGGTGGCAGCGCGGGGCATAGCACAGTGAGGGGCCTGAGGGTGTTAGCTAAGGTCTTTGTTCCTTTTCTTATTAAGCCACAAGTCCTACTCCTGTGAAGACCCAGTAATCCGGGAATGGATTGATCCACTCATGAGGGCAAAGCCGTCACGCCCCAATCATCTTTTAATGACCCACCTCTCAATACTGCCACCCTGGGAAATACGTTTCTACATGAGGTTTTTTTTTTTTTTTTTTTTCTTGGTTAGTTTCTCTTTGAAACAGGATCTCACTCATCACTCTGGCTGGAGTGCAGTGGCACAATCATGGCTCACTACAACCTTGACCTCTGGGCTCAAGTGATCCTTCTACCTCAGCCTCCTGCATAGCTGGGACTATAGGCATGTACTACCACACCCAGCTAATTTTCTTATTTATTTATTTTTTTAAATAGAGACAGGGTCTCCCTAAGTTGCCCAGCCTGGTCTTGAACTCCTGGGCTCAAGCAATCCTCCTGCCTCAGCCTCCCAAAGTGCTGGGATTACAGGCATCAGCCATGCTGGGCCAACCTGAGTTTTGAAGGAGGCAAACATTCAAATCATAGCAATGATGAAACAAGCCTACTAAATTTCCATGTGATACTAGCTCAATGAATAAGCTCAAGCTCAATGGGAACATGAAAAACACTTAACATTTAGCAAATGTTCGTTACCTAAGTGAAGTGCAGTTATTAGAGATAGAAGTGGAATTGGGTAAACTCGAAAAACACTTAACATTTAGCAAATGTTCGTTACCTAAGTGAAGTGCAGTTATTAGAGATAGAAGTGGAATTGGGTAAACTCAGGCTAGTAACCAGAGGAGAAAAAAAGAAAGTGAATAATTAAAATGCAGGGTAAGACTGGCTGTGTGCAAACACAGATGAGATCTGTGGGTCCCCAGAAGAGACAATACATTAATTAAAAAAGGGAAGGGAAGATGCTGAGTCTGCTCTGATGATAACCTTACTCCCTTTACAGATTAACAGCGAGTACTCAGTTCAAGCATGAGTGACATAATTAAAGTAAGTTGTTAGCACAATTCACCAGCATCTGTTTACTTGTTTCTATGCTTCCTTCTTGGGAGGTGTTCCAATTACAATGACTCAGTTACCTCCTCCACTCAGGGGGACTGTGGAAAACAACCTTTAAGTTGAAATACTCAAACTATTTGACATTAATCCAAAAAGATGCATTGTTCATCCTTTCAACAGACATTGATTGCCTATCCTGCAAGGTGCTGCCATGGGCTGCGGGAGGTCCGATGCTGACCGGCAGGTAAGACTCCTCTCGTGGAGCTTGCAGCTTAATAAGGGCCAGAGTCGTGCGGCACAGTGCAGGATACAGGGCAGAGGACAGAGCCAGGCTGTCTGAAGCAAGAATGGGACCTTGGACATTTTAGAGCAGTGAATCAGTCCTTCAGGACCATGTGCTCAGTTTTTGCTTGAAATGTAACCACAAAACACACTTCCCAAAGCAGGGAGACATGAGGCTTTTTGTCCTATTATATTCACTTCCCCAGTAGGGCAGATAATTTGGCAGGAATTACAGACCATGACATTCCATACTGTTTTGATCCAGACTAGTTAACTCTAGGGGTTGGGGCCCCATATGTGAGGCAAAGTTGCTTAACTATTAAAAAATAAGACGTATGAGGAAAGATTAAAATACGAGATGATGAAGCTGATTGAAGGAAGTTGCTGGTGATTTGAATAATGGCTTTCAGACTTCCAACATGCGTGTGATTGACATTGGGTCGAGAAGTTTTTTTTCTGAATTTGAGACCAAACACCACTGAAGCAGAGAGGTCTATAAACAGAGCTAGAATTCTCATCATTATTAGTGATGTTACTAACATTGATACTGCAGTAACAGACATGCAAACAGAGCAACGTGCAGTAGAAAGGATGGGAGTACAAATAAGCCTAGAAGCTGAGACTCAAATTTCAATTTTAGTTTCCTTAAAAAATCTTTCTGTTTAGAGACAGGGTCTCATTCTGTTGCCCATGCTAGAGAGCAGTGGTATGATCTTAGCTCACTGCAGCCTTAGCCTCCGGGGCTCAAGCAGTCCCCTACCTTAGCCTCCTGAGTAGCTGGGACTACAGACACATACCACGGTGCTCTGCTAATGTTAAAATTTTTTGTAGAGTCAGAGTCTTGCTATGTTGCCCAGGCAGGTCTTGAACTCCAGGACTCAAGCTATCCTCCAACCTTGGCCTCCCAAGGTGCTGGGATTACAGTCATCAGCCACTGTGCCTGGCCTCACTTTTAGTTTTGAAAGTAGTCAGATATTTCCAAGTTTGGCTGTCAGAAAAAAGGAAAAAGGTCCCCTGTGGCCACATGCAGAGGAAGGGCTGTAGACAGAGACTAACACTCTGTTTCCTGCTCTTTATTTGATTTTATTCCTTGAAAAAAACAGATATGAGAATTGCTGATGTGCAGGCCAGCCTGGGCTTTGAAACGTGGGCTTGGAAAAGATTCTGTATTTTCTGTCTGTGTGATGATATGTGCTCCTGCATAGAGCAAGGAAAACAGAACTTACAGGTGGGTTCCCAAGCTCCACAGCCCATCTTTATCACTGCCAGGTAAAGCACTGTCCCTTAAGAGTCAGAGGCAACCAATCAAGTGACATTTATTGAGACTCTACTATATGTCAGACCTGGGCAAGGTAGCTTCTCATGAGGTCGAGCTGGATGACTGGCTGGGATAAAGGATACAGCAAAAACGTGGGGGTCCGACAGGAGGTCGTGGGGGTCCGACAGGAGGTCGTGGGGGCCACATGCTCAACCACAGGACCTGATCCAAGCTTGTGCATAGACTTTCTGCATATTTTCCTCATAGTAAATAAGTTTTGCTTATTGTTTCTTTTCCATTCTTGTCAGTTTTGTTTTTTTATGTGTCCTAATAACCATATATTTCATTTTCCACCCATCCAGACTCCTTGCTCCTTCCCATTTGGTCTGGGGAGAACTCATAAATGTCATTGGTCACAAATCCACTCTCCACGCTCACCAGAGTCACAAACCCACTTTCTGATGGGTTCACAGCCATGTTGTCATAGTCACAAGACACGGCATCTGGAGTAGCTTCTCCCGAACACACTCGGAATGAGATATTCTTCAAGTCTGGCCGGGTCTCAGCCAAGTCAGCTTCGCTTTGTTTTCTTATGACATTGTAGACCTCTAGGTCCGGGCTGTTCTCTTGGTGAGGAGAGGGCCAGATGGTGTGTTGCTTCTTTGTGTTAGGGTCTGGCTGCTCTCGTTTTCTAGGAAGAAAGAAAACAAGGGCTGAGTATTTCAGACCAGGTGATTGAGAATACCCCTGTGCTTCCTGTTCAGACTGGAGGCAGCAGCCCTGGGCAGTCACCTGCTGCCTGTCTCACCTATGTAACTTACAGGCCAGGGCTTCAAGGTGGGAGGGAACCAACCAGGGAGACGTTATGTTCAAAGTGATTGTGTATCTGTCATTCACTGCTGCCCAAGAGTGGTCAGGGTTATTATCCTGGGGTCCCTCGAGTCCCTGGAGGGTCCAGGGATAGAACTGAATAGAAAAAAAAATCACATTACAAAGCAAACAAACAAACAAAAACTCAGCGGGGTGCCGTGGCTCATGCCTGTAATCCTAACACTTGGGGAGACTGAGGCAGGTGGATCACTTGAGCACAGGAGTTTGAGACCAGCCTGGGCAACTTGGTAAAACCCCATCCCTACAAAAGATACAAAAATTAACCAGGCATGGTGGTGCACACCTGTAGTCTCAGCTACTTGGGAGGCTGAGGTGGGAGGATAACCTCAGAGGTCAAGGCTGCAGTGAGCCATGATGGTGCCGCTGCACTCCAGCTTGAGTGACAGAGTGAGACCCTGTCTCAAAACAAACAAACAAACAAAAAAAAAAAACCAAAAAACCCAAAACAACAAAAAAACTAAACTCATCCATAAGTGAAATTCAGCATGTCCTTCCATTTGAATGTAAGCAATAAAACAGAGCAGGATTAATAATATCTTTGACTTGATCACTACTAGAAATTATATTTTCATATCACAGTTATAGATGTCTTGAAATATTTTACCCTTATCTCTACTTCACAATTATAATAATTATACCCAGCACTAAATAAAGACATGTTAATAAAGGAGTACATGTATTACTAATCACTATTCATTTTTGGAAATATTTGCTAAACTATATAACAGTATGATTGTTCCCTTTGTATTGTATTTTATGCTTTTAAAATATTGTTCTGGGCCAGGTGTGGTGGCTTTTGCCTGTAATCTTAGTACTTAGTGGGGCTGAGGTGGGCAGATCACCTAGGTCAGGCCAACATGGTGAAACCCATCTCTACTAAAAATACAAAATTAGCCAGACATGGTGGCATGTGCCTGTAATCCCAGCTACTCGAGAAGCTGAGGCACTAGTATCACCACCACCAGGAGGTGGAGGTTGTGGTGAGCAGAGACTGTGCCACTGCACTCCAGGCTAGGTGACGGGGCAATACTCTGTCTCAAAAAATATATATATAAAATAGTAATAAAATAAAATAAAATAAAATATTGTTCTGGAAGGAGTCTATGGGCTTCACCAGGTTGCTGCTGGGGTCTGGGGCACAAAAACCCTTGGGATAGACAGACACCCCAGCTTTAGAGTCACAATTCCCAAATCCTGGTGAACTGCAGAATAGATGGTCAGGAAGGGAAATCAAGAACCAACTGCAGAGTAAGCAGTTGGAAAATCTACTTGTAAGTTTTTGAACTAAATTCTACTTTTAGATTCAAAGGAAATAACTAATAAAATAATCCTATCAATAGCTATCATTTTTAAGTGCTTAGCATATGCCTATTCTGCAAGCATTAACTACCTTAATACTTATAATAATCCTGTAAGGAAGTTACAGTTAACTGAAATAGATTTTACGTTGGAATCTTACTAATTCATCTCAAATTGGTCTTTAAAAGGAGTCAAATCTTAAACTGGGCCTTAGTTTTCGAGTTGCAAAATGGGAACACTAGACATCTTCGCCATATAGCATGCTGATGGAGAATAAAAAGGTAACTAAGAAGAGCTTTCAGTACCAAAAAGAAAGAAAGAAAGAAAGAAAAAAAGAAAGAAAGAAAGAAGGAAAAAGTAGCACATGAACCTGACCATATACAGATATTGTTGATGCCACCTAATGTAGCTATTTTATAGCACTCTATACTTGTGTACTGAATTAAAAGAAAAGTCAATTAAAAGGAATTTGGCTCTTTCATTTTGAATTAAGTGGTTTAGTTTCAGATGTTTTGCAGAACGCTTTGCAACAGTCCTTTTTCACGTGGCTCACTATTCATTTCTTCACTCAGCCCACAAGCACGTTCAGAGCGAGGGCATACATTCAAGAGAGCATTTTTGCTGGGTGACATGTGGGTGCACAGGAGGTGAATAATGCAATTTCGTCCTTAAGTTGTTTTAAAATCTTCCATATACACACGGTAAAGCATGTAGGATCACTCTCTTAATCACAGCTAAGCACACATGCCCAGTACTTCCGAATGCCCTGGCTTGTTAGAGAATCTACTCTCAAATCTGCAGTGGTGACACTCTTGGTGCTACCGTGGCTTTTAATGAAGTAAACAAGGCAATATCCAAATCTCAAAGAGGGCAGAAGATGCAAAGGTTTACAAAGCAAAGGTTTTACTTGCCTTCTACAGATCCAAACCCAACACACAACCGTGGTGACCACAAGGACGAGGAGAAGGGGAATGCCGGGAATGAGGATATAGGCAAGATTCCAGGCAGCTTCTGAAAAGAAGGAAAGCACATGATCAGCATTGGTTGTTTTTTGTTTTGTTTTTCTGTGCTTCAGAACAGGCTTAAAAAAACATAATAATCAAAAACCACTTGCAACCCCAAATCTACCGAAATTAAAAAATAAAAAACAAAACAAGCCTAATCAAGAGAGAGTATTCCAAAGAGCTTGTTCCTAGGTGATTGAGACACATCTAGCCAATTAGCAGAGTCTTCTGATTTCAACGAATGAGAATTTTCTACCTATCCTATTACCCTAAGTGATAATGAAAATCAGTTTAAATTTGTGGGTCTCTTGCAAATATCAGAAGGGTACTTTTGTTAATTAAGCCTCTTTTTTTTTTTTTCAGAGAAAAAGGAGTCCCTCTTTTTTTGTCCTCCCTTAGTAAAGCAGGGGCCACTGAGGCAGTATTGATGAATATTAATCATAGATATTATGCATCACAGCTTGGGTCTTTCTGCTCTTATTTCTCTACATTTTCTCTCTCAGCCCTCACTCCACCTCACCCCGCCTGATCTCTGAGTGGCTCCCAAGTCTCTGTCTTCTTGCAAATTTTTCACCTCCTGTCTGATCACCCCGGTCATCTTAGGATAGTTCCATTTGCATATTTCATTGACGAAGCCTAGCATTTAGTATAGCTTTTTTAAAGCCACACATGCCCTGTCTATTCTGTTAGGTAGATGTGGGAAAGGACAAAGTAGGGAATTCAGCCATGGGTCATTTGTGATCAAGGGAGTCTCATTACTCATCTTTCCCAGGAGAGTTTCGTACAGACCTCTACTTTCTTTAAATGTTTTTTTGGCATCTTCTTCCTGTGTTTCTCCTAGAAGTACAAGTGTTGTCAGCTCTGTTCCCTCACCTGGAGAGAGACACATGGACTTGTGAACTTGGAGAAAGGCATCCTAATTCATGTATTCTTTGAGGTCCTACCATGTTCAAATTGGGATGCAAAAAAGCAGTAGCGATTTGACCAGCACCATCTATAAACATAGAAAAGTAAAGGGTTGAATTTGTTGCCCTAGAGGTTTAATTTGTCTGTCTTTTTGGAGACCCTTGCTGTCAAGAATCTGGTACCAAAACAATCAACAGGCAGCTGACATCAAGGTACATAAAATACCAAACTGTCAAGGGGAAGAGCCCATGAGTCACTTCTAGGACATAAATGATCAGTTTGGCTCATTTTTTGGGTCTCATTAAATTATTCCTTTCATATTGTCAATAATGACAAGTAACACCCCAAACAGAAATTGTAACTGTTGCTGAAATGGAACTTGTAACTGTTGCTGAAACGGAATTTGTAACTGTTGCTGAAACGGAATTTGTAACTGTTGCTGAAATGGAACTTGTAACTGTTGCTGAAACGGAATTTGTAACTGTTGCTGAAACGGAATTTGTAACTGTTGCTTTTCAGCTGTGAGGGAAACAGACACCATTAGAAAGAGAGATGACTAAATTAGCTGTCAAGGCCAGGTGTGCCTATACCTGTCCCAACTGCCTGGGTTAATACCAGAAGTTTTTCTGTTGAATAATCTGGTCCAAAGGACATATGGCTTTAAACCTGTGAAGAAGGGATATTAAACAGCCCCAGTTAACTCAAATTTCAAAGGACAGGCTTACCTTCAGCTTCTGTAGAAGGAACTATTGGTTTCTCTGCAGCAGAAAGAAACAAAACCAAACATAATAAGTAGTTTTTCAAGGCATCTGAATGAAATCAGCCACAGCTTGGTACCCATTTATTTGCTGATTCCTCCAATAAAGTTTATTTGTTCTTATCAGATATCAGGAACTGGGCCAGTAAATCAAAAGAATTGCTTTTGCGCAAAGACTAACCTTCCCCAGCTTTATTTCAGTGCTTTTTTTATTTTTCAAAAAGTATTTAGAAACCTTTAAATACGATAATTTCCAAATATACAAAAAAGTAGAGACTGGTGAAATGTACCCTGTGTACACAGCTTCAACTCCTATGGATATATAGCTAATCTAATTTCACCAACAGCCTACTCGAGCTCTCTCCTTGCACTCCTGGCCTGGATTATTTTAGAGTTGTCTAAGATATTTTATCAGTTTATAGTAGGAATGTTTTAGAGGGCAACAAACACTGATCTCCAAGTACTGGAAGTGTTTAGGGGCTCAGTAGACCACTGGCCAGCACCAAGACAGAGGCTGGTGATCTAGAGCTCTGAGGTACTGTACTCAGTATTTCAAAGTGTCTTGAGAATATCAGATTTAACAGACAACTGACATAAAATGTTTTTGCTTTTGACTGGGAGTATGTCCACCTGTTGTATTGGCAATAAGTCTCTTATGCCAATCAGATGCTGTGGTGTTCCCAGGGACAGGGTCTTTGATGAAAAGACCTTAAAAAATCACAATCCGAAGGTCAGGATGTCAAGCCCATTCTGAAGTTTCACTCAGAAAGGACGCAAACTTTAGTCATCTTCCCATAAGTGTGTGTGTATGTATAGGTGATGTAAACCCACTTATTTTTATTTATTTATTAACAAGTTCATCATTTAACAAGTCTGAATTCATTTTCACCACATGGTATTATACACGGTCATCTGTAGAAACAGATTTCTTTTCAAACAGAGTTTTAAAAAGTCATAGATAGATACTGTGAGTTCTGTATAAACTGGTTAGATCCTTTGTTTTAACTTATAAGCCTCAACTTCACCGCAGAATAAAGAATGTAGGCCAAAAAAGCATAATCGGTCACTTGTATAGAACAGTATTGTTTCTATAATTTGAAGCTTTCTGAATGGATGGGTTCAGGCCTGATGTAACTGTAAAAAGATTACTTAATGAATAGACTATATGGAAATTGTACAAAATGTTATTACCTTTAATCATGAGTAGCTTAAACAGCACTGTATCACTAATTACTATTCAAAATCAAGAACGTATTTTTGAATCCCCAGGAAGGTAGCATGTGTACACAACCATACCACCTTGTACTTAGGGGTGTGTCAATACATAATTCAACAGAAACTTTGGCTTTAGGAAAGAGTCACAGATATTTAAAAGAATGGCTGTAATCGTCATTTTAAGTATACGGTAGGGGAAAAGCATGCTTTAATTAAATATACATCATACCGGTGATGCTGGCAAGGTTGAAAGTCCTCCTAATGTTGATAGCTATAAAAACTAGTTTGTACATAACAAGAAAATGAGAGGAAAAAGCAGTCTCTTTGAAACAAAATTCTCAAATAAAAAATGTTCACAGTGGTTCATATCAACAGTATGCATTTTATGACAAAAACATGTAGATTCAGAGCACCCTCGGGCAGTATTGAGAGGTGGGTCATTAAAAGATGATTGGGGCATGAGGGCTTTGCCCTCATGAGTGGATCAATCCATTCCTAGATTAATGGGTTTTCACAGGAGTAGGACTTGTGGCTTTATAAGAAAAGGAACAAATTCTCAAATACAAAATGTTCACAGTGGTTCGCATCAACAGTATGCATTTTATGACAAGAACATGTACAGATTCAGAGCACCCTAGGGCTCTCTTTGTGTCCTAAAGGAAATGAGCATTTACATGATTACAGGTTGTACTGAATTAAAAGATCAATTGTACACTTACCCCTTAGAAAGGATAAACTGTCGTGGGGTGCACAGCTTTTTTTTTTTTGAGACAGTTTCACTCTTGTTACCCAGGCTGGAGTGCAATGGCGCGATCTTGGCTCACTGCAACCTCTGCCTCCTGGGTTCAGGCAATTCTCCTGCCTCAGCCTCCTGAGTAGCTGGGATTACAGGCACGCGCCACCCTGCCCTGCTAATTGTTTGTATTTTTAGTAGAGACAGGGTTTCACCATGTTGACCAGGATGGTCTCATCTCTTGACCTCGTGATCCACCCACCTTGGCCTCCCAAAGTGCTGGGATTACAGGCGAGAGCCACCATGCCTGGTCCACAGCTTTAACACCATCATTAAAATTGTTTGCAAAAGGAATAGAGAATTAAAACACTTTTTGGAGTGAAGTCTTTCATTTGCTGTTATAACCAGCAAATGCCATTCACTAAATCAAACACGGAAGGGCCCCCACAAACACAGATCTATCTGAGCAAGCTGACCAGTACACATTACAATCTTAAAAATGATGGTTATATATTCTATGTTAGAAGTCCCAACTAGGCAGTGTCAAAATGACATCTATTTCTTTGCTTGTTTTGTGATCATACCCCTTGGAGGTGTTACAGGTTTCGTGGCATTTGGCTTCTTCTTCTCTGCAGGCTTTAAAATCTGAAAAGAACACATTAGTGTTTCATCCACACTCATCATGGCACCTGCATTGTCAAACTCTCCACAATCATTGTGTGCAGAAAACAGAGTGACCAACTGCCTCTTTGCAAAAAATTCATATCCATCTTCAACCACCTGATGGACTCTACATATAAGATCCAAATCGTGCTTATGGAGAAATTTTTGCAACCACTTCTTCACCAAATGTGAAGGGCACTCCTCTGTCATTTTCACCCCAGCCTAAGACATCTTTATCGGGGTCAGACCACAAAGGATCACAGAGAAGACCTTGACCTGGTACATCAGTTGGTCGCATAATTCTCCGAATCTGCTCCATAGATTGAAGATCTGGCGATAAAGATATTCTCCATCACAGCAGAATATCTTCTCATCCATGATGGCTGCTATCGGTAAACAGTTAAAACGGTCTGTGAAAGTTTTCCATAGTTTAATGTTGTATCTTCTTTTACATTCATCATAAAATCCATAAATTCTGTTGATGCTGGCACATTCATGGTTCCCTCTGAGAAGAAAAAAATTCTCAGGATATTTGATTTTGTAGGCCAGGAAGAGGCAGATTGTCTCCAATGACTGCTTTCCCCTGTCCACATAGTCCCCAAGAAACAGGTCGTTGCTTTCTGGCGGGAAACCACCGTACTCGAAAAGTCGCAGCAAATCGTAGTATTGCCCATGGATGTCACCACATATTTTGAGTGGTGCTTCAAGTTCTAGTAGGATGGGCTGACTGAGAAAGATCTCAGGAGACTTTAGGCACAGTCCTCTGATTTCATTCTCCTGAAGCTGGACATTCTTACCAGGCTTGGACCCTCTCACTTCCGGCAGCCGTTGGATGATGCTGTCGATGTTGAGTTTGTCTAAATCCGCCATCGCCCTCCCACCGCCGACCCTCCCTCAGCGGCGCTGCTGCTGGCTCGCGCCCAGGACTCACACCCCATTCCACAAGCAGAGGCGGTGGTGGGGCAGGGGTAGCAGCCTAGGTGGGTCCCCCCTCAACCGCCCTGCTCCCTGCTTCCTCCTTCTCTCCCCACTGGGACCACGAACAACCCATTTATTTTTAAAAACCCACTTATACTATGCCCACTATATGAGAGAAACAGTTCTAAGTGTTTTTTTTTTTTTTTTTGAGATGGAGTCTTACTGTGTTGCCCAGTCTGGAGTGCAGTGGTACAATCTTGGCTCACTGCAATCACTGTTTACCGGGTTCAAGCAATTCTCCTGCCTCAGCCTCTGAAGTAGCTGGAATTACAGGCATGTGCCACAACACCTGGCTAATTTTGCATTTTTTTAAAGTAGAGATGGGGTTTCACCATTTCGTTTAGGCTGGTCTCAAACTCCTGACCTCAAGTGATCCACCTGCCTCAGCTTCCCAAAGTGCTGGGATTACAGGCATGTGCCACTGTGCCTGATCTCTTCTAAGTGTTTTACAAAAATGAGCTCAATTAATCCAAATAACAGCCTTGTGAGGTGACCTTATTATTATTCTGGTTTTGTACATGAGGAAACCAGGATTTGGGGAGATTAAGTGACTTGCCTAAATCTCACAGCTAATAAGTAGCTGTAAAGGGATTTCAACCAAATAAATTCAAATGAAAATTAAAATAATAAGGCGACATAACTGTGCTCAGCAGCAGAGATAAAACAGCAAATGAGAAAGAATCCCAGCCCTCTAAGGAGCTTATATTCTACAGGATGGCAATAAAATCTGGAAATACAGGAGAATATTAATTAACGTTGATTTTGTGACATTACACCGGCATATGTAATATGATCTATTCAATACACGATCTTCTCATACTGTTGTCCCTCCGTACTTCAATCCACAGTGCAAAATTAAACAGCACATGAATGCAGCGTTCACACCAATCCCTGCATGTGCATCTGCGTTGACTCATAATTGGTTTCTGATTTTTGCTGAAGAGGCCTGTGCCTTTAGCATACCCCAGAAGTAAGCAAGTATTCAGATATCACTAGCATGCCACCTACTCTACATGATTATATTCTCGAATCTAGTTTTCTATATTACCAATCGCCCAGTTTCTTGCCACTCTGGTATACTGGGATGATGCGCCCTCCTGCTGGAACCAAAGAAGTGAGCTTCCCTAACCCACCAAGTGGTTAAACAGGTACGTTTCCAGACTTCAGGCCAATGATGTAGTGGAGGGGATAGCCTTGGGCAGTTAAAGTACTGTGTGTGTGAGGTGCTACAATCCTTACAGGAGGGGCATCAAACCTAGCTTTGAGGGGCGCTGGAAGGCTTTTCAAAGGAAGTTGCTTTTTTATTGTCTTATTTTGAAATATTTTCAGATTTATGAAAAATTTCAAGAATAGTACAAAGAATTATCCCATATCCTTCACCTTATCGTTTTATCACATTTCATTTACTTAATTATTCTCCTTCTCTCTTATCTCTCCTCTTTCTCTCTGCCTCTCTTTGTGTCACATACACATATGTTTATGTGTGTGTTTGCGCATACATGCATACACACACACACACAGAAACACAAACACATATGTAACTTTGTTCCTGCAAACAAGTTGCCATCATGGTGCCCCTTTACTACTAAACACTTTCATCCATATTTTCAAAGGGAGAGGGGCCTTTACATATATAACCGCAGTACAATGATCAAAACCACGAAATCAACATTGCTATAATACTATTTTCTAATCCACTGACCTTATTCAGATTCTACCAATTTTCCTAATAATGCCATTTAAATAAAATCATCACATCATGGTCCAGGATCCAACCCAGGATCACCAGTTGCACTTAGGAGCTGTTAGGAGAGAAGGTGTTGCCTGATTTGAAGCCAGAGGGTGAGAATGAGTTGGCTGGGAAAGGGGTGTTTTAAGCACAGGAAACAGCAATTAAGAGCTCTTGGGGGATTCCGTTTGGTACAAAGGTGTTGGAAAAGTATGGGGAAGGAGTTAGAGTGGTGAAAATTGAACTGGACAGGTTAGCAAGGGTCTGGTCACGCTGATCCTCTTCCAGCATGCTAAAGTATGTGAACTGTTCTGGGCAGGGGTGGCCACATACAGGTAGTGTGTTAGTTTTTCTCCATGTGCCCACCTCCCTCTGTTGGATCCATTCTTTGTCCTTCTCTGTGCGTTGGGAGGTTAAGCTCTATAAACTGTTTCAATGGGGCATCCTTGTTCCCTCGTCCTTTGGTCTCTAATTGGACTTAGACAATGAGAGACAAAGGCAGAAGATCAGAGGATAGGAGGAAAGAGAGGTCTCAGTGGTCATTCCCCATGCCCCCATCCCACACCAGCATGGTTTGATAGTAGCTGCATTTTGTGGTAATGGCTCCTGTTAGGTGGGTCCTCCTTCATGACCCCAAGATTTTCCTGGGTTCTGCTAAAACCATTCCCTCCTTTTACTCCTTTAGGCCTGGGAGTAACAGTTTCCCACTGTAGCTAGTCCCTGGATATTTTACCACCTCTGTTCTTCGCCTGCACCTCAGCAAATGTCCTTTTTATTACACTCTCTTCATTAAATCCTCTGTGTGTGCCATCTTTTTCCTGCCAGCACTCAGTGTAATAGCAAAAGTAATGAAGAATGTGATTTTTTTTTAAAGTGCCAAGTCCAAGAATAAAATGATATTAAAGCAAATTTCAAAATATCACATTTCAAAAACTGTTAAAGGAAGTGCAAAGACTTAAACCACGGAGCTATTAATAATAGAATATAATTAACAAAAGTGATGGAAAGCCAGTTTGTAACTAGTGCTTTGCTTTCGCTGGTTCATAATGGTGACTTGCTAAGCCTAGGTCTTTGCAATCTCCCTGCCTGAGACAACGCTGTATGGTGGGGACGGCCAGGTCACTGGAGAGAATAATTCATCCAAGAGGATAAGAAGAGAGAAAAACATCTTTTAGCAGGAAAAACTGCCACCAAACCATAGTCCAGTTCAAACAACTTAAAAATGACAGGATTACTTAGTCCCAAACTAGATATAACTAATAAGTCACTCTACTCCTATCAAGAGAGAATGAAGAGCTGGGGTTAAGCTGTTGGCATCAGGGAGGTGAGGAACTTCAGGAGCAGATTAAGAATCAGTTCAAGTTCAAATATGTCAGTTATAATGGAGAAGTCTCGGAAACCCCAGTATAGTGAAACTACAGGCTTGTAGCCAGTTTAAAACCCTAACAGATCTGAAAGCAAATGTAAGTTGAATTTGCAAGGCATTATATACAGGGTGGTCTGGGAATTTAAATCTGCTCATCGAAGTACCTACTACCTCTGCCCAGTGAAAGTGCAATTGGTGTACTCTATCATTTACCTATGTATCCTGCTTCCTTAAAGCCCCAGGAAATAATCTCACAGAGCTGGTAGAAGACTTGTATGAGCAATGGCCAGCTTATTCTAAGCCCCTACAGCCAACCTCACATGTGGAAAGAGTAATCATTTGTGGCTGTCCACTTAGAGGGCTGTTTTATTTCTTGACGTTCTTGTAAGACTTGCTTTATCCCACATAAATTAGACCTTTCCTTTTTCTCGTCCATTGTCTTAATGTCTGATCATCTTTCCTTTGCTAGGATTACTCCTCAGTGAGGAGCTGTCATTACATTGCCCTTTACAAGAACTCCTAAGGTTTTATGTCGCTGGCATTTGCAACAAGCTTTCTCAGAGACCACATGACAAATTCTTGGTATTAGCAGCTGCTCACGAAATGGGAGAGGTTGAGAATTCAGCCACATAGCTTGGGAGAGGATGCGTTACCATCAGAATATTTGCAAATGAAATTGTTCTTCATGTTGCATCGGTCATCATTCCACTGGAACATGTAGGGGCCTCCGATGCCGGCGGGTGCTGATGGCTGATGGTACATGACCACGCAGACCTCGCTGCCGCAGGATGGCTCATCCACATACCAGTTCCTGTAGGAAAGGAATCAGCAGTGGAGGCAACTGGAGGAGGATCTCCTAAGATTTCAAAGCCTTTGTTTTCCCATCAAGTCCCACTGAGCCATAAACATAAGGTTCTGCCTCAGAACACCATACAGAGAGAGGGAGGAACTGAAGTACTGCCAATAAGTAGAGCCACAGGCATTCTCATATGGACGTCACAATCAATCATCTGACATTTGCCACGACCTCTTTGCAGGGAGGAACCTGTCACTATATATGTCTGCAAAGTAATTGTGAGAAAAAGCAGCTAGCAGGGGTAGGCTGGATGATCCTATCTCTTTCTTGCTTTTTGCTAATTGGGTTTGTTTGTCTTTTTTTTTTAGAGCTCAGATGCACTAAGAAGAGACATGACTTACCTCATCCAGAGCTTGCCCTGCTCCAATTTCTCCCTGCTTTTCAATAGCCACCAAACTCGGCTTTGGGAAGTAGATAAGAAATTCAAGCACATGAGCAAGGCATTCTAAAACACAGAGGCTGTCAAAACAGGTGAAGAGGTGGGGACAAAAGTAAAAGGACCATTTGGTCTTTTTCAGTTTTTAAGTCGTTTCCACTTGGTCACGCTGATGAGCCCCTCAGCCTCCACCTCCAGATGTCTTGTCTTTGTCTCCCTTGCGCCCCAGAGGGGTGCATTAGCAACCTTACACTACTATCCAGTGGCACTTGAAATTAAATGGTGCTGCCACCCAGTTGGATGTGAGGGTGCCAGGGGAAAGTCTTGGATCTTATGGAGAGTTTACATCTGTGAGTATTCACTCCATGTGTTGACTCAGGGATGGGCTTTGTAGTCTGTCTGGTTAGTCACCTGAGCTGTTTTCTTTCTGGGGCTCAGATCTTTTCCTGATGCTCAGAGCAGGCAATGCTGCTCTGCCTAGATCTTGCCAGAGCCCTCCGAAGGAAAGAGACACTAAGAGACAGCTTTCTCTGTCGCACCACAGTAAGACTCTGCTTGAGGCCTGTGTTACTGTCTACTAGAAGAAAGATCCTTTGCTGCACCCACTGGATTGAATTTCCTGGAAAATAGCTTAGCTTACAATAAACACTCCTTAAACACTATGCCTGGACAGCTGGGAGCACCTCATTAGTTATCTCCAGTCCAGATTTCAGCTCTGTTGGGCCTCCTACCCTGACTTGCCTTGTTCTCCTCTGCATTGGCCTTATGGCTTTACATTAGTTTGTCTTATAGGTTGAATATTATGTCTGGCATATAATTTCTATACTTGAGCCAATTTTCAGACCCAGAACTCACTGATAGAGATGCCAGGTTTCCAGTAAGAAGGACCCTGCAACACCATGGCAGGTGCACATGCTAATAACGTCCCATTTTTCCGCTAAAGGGACCCATGGCTATTTACTCAAGTAACCATCCACTGGGGAAGAGGGAATATCCAAATATTACTAGGGCTGTTGGACACAAGGTGCTAGTTGACATAAATACTCAGACCTAAAGTGTCATCAAAGCTACCCATTAGAGGAGGAGCACACTGGGGACAGGTATTAAACAGAGGTCTGGCCCAGGACCAGACCAGTCGTCATTCCCAAGTCCCCAGATACGTGAATTGAATAGACATTTGATAGTTGGTACAGTTCGGCATTGGTTACTTGGCCTATGATGGGCAGGTTGAGCTGCAACATCTCTTGGTCTACTTACCTGTGGGGCAAGAGCTATCACAGTGGAGAATGTCAAGTGGGGAAGCCTTTGAACCTGCATGCCTCCCCACTCCTGCCATGACAATAAACCAACAACAATATCTATCCAAGGAAAGAAGGCAGGAAGTAGTGTCATCCTTAAAGACACAGAGAATGCAAGAGTGGTGTTTCCCGTTATATTTCTAGTTAATTCACTAGTCTCACTCCTGAAAATACCAAATCCTGATCTTCCAAATAGGAAGATCCTAAAGGCGATAACAGAGTAGCACAGACTCAACCAAGTAGAAGCCCAGTTGTAGCTGCCTGTGCCATATATGGTGTCTTTGCTAGAGCAGGTTAACATGCCCTTGGGTACCTAGTATAGAGATCTGGTGAACACATTCGTTTCCTTCTGTATCAGAAAGATAATCTGAAACTGTTGGAATGGACAATAGTATATACTATGGTCCTGACTCAAGGCTATATTATTTTTTCCCCATCCTCTGTTATAATATGGTGTAAAGAGATCTGGATTTCCTAGACATCTTGCAGACAATCATGCTGGCCTACTGTATTGCTGACATCGTGCTAACTGGAACAGATGAGCGAGAGTGGTTAGTACATTGGATGTTTTGATAAGACTTATGTACTCCAGAGGATTGCAGATAAATCTTATGAAGATTCAGGAGCCTACTACTTCAGTAAAATGTGTGGGTGCCTAGTGATCTAGGGAATACCAGAACATCCCTTTCAAATTAAAGAACAAATGTTGCATCTTGCAGTAATTTGAAGCCTGAAGCATAGCACATGGTAGGTCTCTTGGGGCTCTAGGGGCAGCATATTTCATACCTTGGAATACTGCTCTGGCCCATAAATCAGGTGACATGAAAGACGGCCATTTTTTTGAGTAGGATTCATAGCAGAAAAGAACCCTGAATTGGGTCTAGGCTGTGTGCAAGCAGATTTGCCACTTGGGCCATATGACGCAGCAGATCCTATTATTACAGATGTCAGTGGTGGGAAAAATACTGCCACACTGAGTTTGTGACAAGCCTCAGTGAGAGAATAATAACACAGACACTTAGGATTTTGAAGCAAGGCCATACCATCTGTAGCTGGAAATTAGTCACCTTTTGAGAAACAATTCCTGGCTGGCTACTAGGCAAGGAGCACCAGAGACTACGTAGTACAACCTGCCTATCCTGAGCGAGGTACTGTCAGACACACCTAATTAGAGATTGGGCAAGCCCGGCATCGATCTGGGAGAGGTATATCCAAGACCAAAGAGCACTGTATGAGCAGGTAAAGCAGACTTCCAAGACATCTGCCACTGTGGGACCAGAGCCTCTTCCTTAGCTCACACCTGTGATTGCATGGAGCAATCCCTTATGACTAGCTGATACAGGCAGCCTGAGCCTGGTTCAAGGATCGATCAGCTAAGTATGAGAGTACACAGTGAAATGGAAAGCAGCTGCACTGCAGTCCCACTGAGGTGGCCTTGAAAGCAGTAGGGGAACATCCTCCCAGTGGCCAGAGCTTTAGTTGCTGAACAGAGCTCCTTGGACATCAGTTGGGCACAAATCAAGGCTGAGTTCAGTTGGGCACAAATCAAGGCTGAGTTTAGTTGGTATATCTAATTAATTACTTTGTAAGGAAAGGGAAACTATTGGAGATTAGAATATACAAGAACTCAGGGGTAAGGTAAACAGCATGCCCAGCTGATCAAGAGTCTAAATGGAAACAGACCAGCAGATTGGGGACTAATAAGTTTTGGATGGAGGGATAGGAATATACATAGAGAAGTGAACATAAAGTATGCAACTCTTTCCATTAGATGTTAAAGACCACCAGGGAATATCTACTGTAGAAGAGGTACTGCAAAACCAGGGGGACAAAATAACTCGGCTAGGTAATGCCAGCCAGCCTGTTATCAGCCACCCAAGTGCTAGTACAATAGAAACTAACAGGCAGTGGCAGAGATGAAAGCTGTGCATGGGCTCAACAGATTGGCCCTCACTCACCAGGGCTAATCTAGTTACTGCTACTGCTGAGTGTTCAACTTCCAGCAACAGAAACCAACGCTAAGTCTCTGACACAGCACCAACACTTGAGGACACCAGTGTGGCACCTGGTGGCAAGTTGAATACACTGGACTTCTGAAAGGGGCAATAATTCAAGTGCCCTTTATACAGTCCTCTGTTCCCAAGAATAAGAATACATGGGCCTGGGAGCCAAGGGGTAGAAGCAGGAGTGGGTGCACTAAGATACATGCTGATGTGCTGCCTTAAATATAATAGGTAAATACACACACACACACACACAAACACACAAATATATATATACACATAATTTTTAAAATTTTGGGGGTACATAGTAGGTACATACTAAAGAATATGTTTTAAAATCATCATTCTTTTGATGAGTTTAGACTGTTTCCCATATGACTGTTTACCATTAGATTTTCTATTTTATAAACTGCTCAGGTCTTCTATCTCTTTATGTTTTGGGGTCTTAGTATTTTATTGACACATAAACTCTTTATCTTAAAAAGATATTAACTCTTTGTTGGATTTGTTACACACATTCTCCCAGTCTCATGCCTGTCTCTTAATTTTGATATTTTTTAGGTGTTTGTCTAGGTCACTGCATTTCTTAGGGAGAGAAGAGGGCAATGTCATGCTGCCAGGGTGGGGTATGAGTGAGTCTTGATGCTGTGTGTTTAGCAGGTCCCTACACACTGCAGCCTTTCTGAGGTCCTACTCTTGGCCAATCCACAGAGTTACATCTTGGCTCTGATTTCTTGCCCATATTACAATTCCTGTGGACTGGAGTCTCACCCTGAGTCATAGCCCCATGGAGCTTCAGTCTCTCAGTGAGGTTCTGGTCCAAAAGGCCAGAGAGCCAGAACCACTGGCTTCAAGCATTGTATGCTGTTGGAACAAGGCTGCTGGGCTGTGCTCACCTGAACAGAGCTCCTTGGACATCAGTTGGGCACAGATCAAGGCTGAGTTCACCACCTGCACTGACTGCTTTGGTCAGCAGCTGTTCTGGTGCTACTTCCCCTTCAGAGGCCTGCCTGGTTGGTCTTCTCTTCCCACTGATCTGGCACTGTGGATCCAGCCTGCCTCTTTTTTACGTTATGTCAAGTGAGTCAGCTGCTCTGGGTTCCACACACTTACCTAAATTGTGATGTGCTGCCATCAGTCCAAGCATAAAGGTCCTGGCAGGCTGTGCTATTGCTTTGTTTCTCCTCATGCCTCCTGAGCCCAATCCAGAAGTCACCATCAGATGCCATGAGGTTTTCAATGAACTTTTCTATCAGTTTCTGTTCATCTTCAGACTCGATGCTGACTAGCTGGCCTCCATCCCTCCTGCAGGCTTCTTTGGCTTCCTCAAAGTTCAGTCTTTGGGAAGTATCATGGAAGTAAATGACCTTATAGCAAAGCCTCTCTGTCCCTCCCCGGCAGACTTGCTGCCCTAGAGAAAAAAGAAGCAAACCTATTTCAGTGTCTCTAAAAGTGTACCGGGGCAAGGATGCATGGAGGCATCTGAAGGAAGGATCCCTGCGTAGGAATTTTGGGTAACATCAGTGGACTGCTATCATGTCAGTTAGGGTTCTCAGAGCAAATTAATACTCCTTCCAGCACGGAGATGAAGTGATTTAAACTCTGATGTCTTCATTGTGTAGGGACATCATGTTTTGTTTGTTCCATTACAGAATCTTAAAAAGAAGATGTTTTATTTTGACTAACCTTTAGAAGAGAAGTAGATGAAGATTTACCGTTTCACAGAAAGGCATGCAAATAACACTTTCATTAGGGAGTCTCAGGGGATAATGTGGCTTAAAGTGGGGTGTCTCTGGTGGTTCTTTAAGGTAAGAGAGGCTTTCTGAAGTCAGGAATGGGCTCCTCCACTCTGGAACCCTCTGCCTGTGCAGCAGAACTGAGAGTTTACCCAGTCTCTGGTGTAAGCAGAAGCTAAAAGCATCAGATCCATGGGGTTTTCTGCCACTAACAGTCAGTCCCCTGACCTAAAGACAATAGTTAAAGTTTACCGAACTCTATGTGCCATGAACTATCATAAGGGCTTACTTACATACTTTACCTCATGTAACCCTCATCATAGTCCCCTGATGTACATACTGTTTATGGCTCATTTTACAAATGAGAAAACTGTGGCTCAGAGAAGTTAAGTAATTTGGCCAAGATCACACAGTGATCAGCAGCGTCACCAGTGTTAAGCCCAGATCTAATTACAAAACCATGCTAGACCAGTGAACTATAATGCTGGCTCCCCACTGCAGCCCAGGCTCACGTTTTACTGGGAGACAATGTAATATGTCTTGTCAGACTGTTCCCTGATGGGCCGAAGATAATCTCAGACAAACAAATGGGATTTTACCAAGGAGCCAATCACAAATCGCTCACAGTACACACTGCTCTGGCTTGTGTCTGCGTGACTGAAGCGTTGCTGCAACACAGACATTAGGCTCGTTGCTCCTTTTATTCAATCGCCATTTATGAGTGTACACTCTGCGCCTGGCACTGTGCAGGGTGCTGGGAATACAGGAGCAACAGCTACTTCCTAGTCCACAGGAAGACACAGCATTCAAAAAAGGGGACTCAAAAAGTGAAAACCACATATCAACACGGGGAGTAGTCCCCTGCAATGAGAAAGCCAAATCGTGGACTGTGGGTGTGAAATGCTGCCACAGTGCCAGGGGTAAAAGATTTTGGTTTGGGAGTCTCCTCCCAGAATTTCTGGAATCTTCCCATTTTCCCAACTTGTTTTGCAGCTGCGCAGGGAGCCAGATAGCATTCATTATTCCCAACACTGGCCAGCATACAGGGCAAGAGGCCACGGAGAGAGAACTAGTTATTAGTGGTAAATGAGAAAGAGCACATACAGGTTACCCAGAAAGCTCCAGTGTCTTCATTTTCTCTTTCTTCTCTCATCACTTTCATAAAGAAATTCTCAACGAGCAACAAGTTATGAGAGTTCCACATCTCCCTTTTCCTGTCATCCTTTGGCTATTGCTCCTAATAGAGAAACTCTAACCCAGCAGCACATTAGGAGGGCTTAAAAGCCAGACCGGCTTACAAGAAGGCGTTCAGAGAGGCTAAGGCGGGGTTGCCCATCCCGTCCCCGACTCCCGGGAAGGGGGCGGGGCCAGGCACTCGTGATTCCTCAAAGCTGGCTCCAAACTGGGTAGCAGAAAAAAGGCAAATGAGCCCCCAGAAACATATCCAACCTTGCCACCAGCATAACAAGCCGGAGTGGAACTTCCTGACAACCCCCACTTTCCACAGTGGATTGTCAAGGGAAACAGAACACCTTAAGCGAGCTTCCTGTATGGTTCAGGCTGGCCGCACATCCCAAGTCAGCGGGTGAGTGCCAGAGACAGTCAGAGCTGGAAGGAGGCCCGGGGGCCTGTCTGGCTCCCCTGCTTTCAGGAAGTGTCTTTCTCTTCTCGTTTGCAGGAAGAGGAAGGGTTGGAGGGCCTTCTGTTCCCCACGACCAAGGACTGAGCCCACGCAGCCCTAACCCAAGCAGCTCAATTCAGTTTCCCACCTCTTTTGCCGCCCCGCGCTCCTCCCCCATCCTGAAACCAACTTTACATTCTTTAAATTGGGAGGAGGTTCCCTGTCTTTTCTGTCCCATTTAGTCAACCTGTTGGCACCCGCCATGGGGACCCGAGGAAAGGGCACGGATGTTCTCCCCTCGACATGCAGAACAACTGAAAGAGGCCAGAAGCCAGAGCACTGTACCTCCTCTGAGGTCCAAATCCGAGGCTGCGGTGACACAACAGGAGGAAGGAAGCAGAGAGTCATTCCCCGGAGTCAGGCGAGGCTCATCCCACCCTAACTGGAGTTCTTTGTCGATCTCTAAGCGCTCTCATTCCAGGCGCTGGACCCAGCAATCCTCCCCACCAGCAGACACGAGGTGTACCGGATCCAGCATCCCTACCCTGCCGTCTCTGCCGCAGCCTCCCCGAGCCCGAGGTAGGCAGCGGCCAGCTGGCAAGCCTCCCCTGCTGGGATGGTCGCCGGGACTACCTCGATGCATGGAAAGGAGCGGGCCGAAGAGGCACCCACTGAGGCAGGTTTGCCCACTGCCGCACCTGTCCTACATCTTCCAACCTAACCCTGTAACTCTGGGCCGGGAACGGGTTTCGGCCGTTCCAGGACTCGCAGGGAACTGGGCGGCCCCGGGAACTGGAGCGGGTCTTCCACGCCGTGCGACTGCTCCCTGGAAGCCGGAGGCTCCGGAGGGCTGCGACTGGGAGTGGGGCATGGGACGTCTCCCTAGTCCCAAGCGTGGCGGCCCAGAAGAGGATCGGCAACAACTGGGGTGCAGTGAGTGCATTGGCCGAGCCCGCCCAGGCACCAGCCCCCGCCCCGGCACCGACCCCTGCCCCAGCGCGGGCACTCACCGCTCAGCAGGCGACCAGTGGCGGCCCGCAGCCCCACCAGCAGCCAGGCCAGCACCAAGGCCTGCAGCGCCGTTCCCGGCCGCATGGCCCGACTCGGGTGCGCCCTCCGACACCCGGGCGCTACGGCGTTGGAGCGGGCTGGCGGGCGGCGGCGTGGGCGACAACTGCAACCGCGGCAGCAGCATCTCCCGAGGACCCAAGGACCGCACGGGAGGAGGGGGGAGCGCGCGGAGTCAGTTGGTCGCCCCTCCGCCCGGTGGGACGTCACTGCAGGAGGGCAGCCCCTCTGGCTGTCCCGCCCCCGACAGCGTCGTCCAGCGAGCTCGGCGCCAGCCAGACACTCGGCCAGGCGAATGGGAGCGAGTCGCGGAGGGGCCAGCTCCCTGCCCCGCTCCGAGCTTCCCTGGGAGATCACGCGTGTTTGCCTGAGCCGGAGGAACCCTCCGGTCTCGCTCCTCTGCAGTCTGTTGACGAGTACAGTGTGCCTGAAACCAGCGCCACATCTCACCTCGGTTCCCGGGACCTCAGCCAAGTTCACCAGCTGTGCGGGTGCAGGCCGAAGGGAGAGGCGAGGCGTGGATTCCCACCCGGGGCTCAGCGGGCCGCAGTCCCGGCACGAAGGGCGACACCTGAGGAAGGAATGGTCGATTAGAGAGCAAAGACTCGCGCAGGCAGTGTGCCCACTGGCCGGGAAAGTTATGGGACTCCGCGCGGGTGGCGTCCAAAGAACGCGGCTGAGTTGGAGCCCTCTCGGCTGAACGGAGAGTGGCTTCCACCAGACGCTAAAAGGTGTCTCAGATCCCAGGAAGGAAACGATTCTGGCTTTTGCAGGAAATATGTTGGGAGGTGGGGTCATAGTTAGGGAGTTCAGCCTTGCCGCCCCCGCCCCCCCAGGAAAGAATGAAACTATTATTTCAGGAAAAGCTTCCGAACCCTCAATGTGTGCTGCCTCTTGTAAACTCCTAAAGTAGGTGCGTTTCACTTTGGTTTCATAAACAAAATGCTTTTTAAGTATAGTCAAGTATGTAATCCCAACTACTCGGGAGGCTGAGGCAGGAGAATTGCCTGATCCCAGGAGGCGGAGGTTGCGGTGAGTGGAGATCGCGCCATTGCACTCCAGCCTGGGTAACAAGAGCGAAACTCCGTCCCCCGCCCCCCCCAAAAAAAGTATAGTCAAGTAATAGAGTGAGCCACCCGTCCAAAGATTAAGGTACTAAGTAGCAGAAGGTGGATCTTTCTGCCTTTTCTCTCTCTCTCTTTTTTTTTTTTTTTGAGACGGAGTTTCGCTCTTGTTACCCAGACTGGAGTGCAATGGCGCGATCTCGGCTCACCGCAACATCCGCCTTCTGGGTTCAAGCAATTCTCCTGCCTCAGCCTCCCGAGTAGCTGGGACTATAGGCGCGCACCACCATGCCCGGCTAATTTTTGTATTTTTAGCAGAGACAGGGTTTCACCTCGTTGACCAGGATGGTCTCGATTTCCTGACCTCGTGATCCACCCTCCTCGGCCTCCCAAAGCGCTGGGATTACAGGTGTGAGCCACCGCGCCCGGCCTTCTTTCTGCCTTTTCTACCACACCGTGCTGCTGTGAAGCATAGCAGAAGCCCCATCTGGGCCACGACCTCTGGATTTTGGTTTCAGCTTGCTGCTTCTTACCTACTCTTTCCTGCTTTTCAAAACAGCCAAGAAAGCAGTGATGCTTCTAAGGTCTCTAGCCACTGCAGTTCTAGACACACAGCCTGAATACAGGGTGTGGGTGACAGTGGAGTGGGATGTATTTCATTATCAGCTGACAATATGCAGGAGCTCTGCTGTGGCAGGTAACAGTCTGTGGCAGGCCACAGTGGCCTCAACAGGATGAGGCCTGGCCTTTATGGCAAGTTCGTTTATAGCCCTTGCCTATGTCTCAGAATACGTCAATGTTACATACAACACATACTCTTTTTCGAAATTCTTGATTATCAAAACAACCACAGAACTGTTATGGTGAAGCAACTGAGTTGGCATTTGAGGTTCTGTTTCAGATCCTGCTCTTCTTTACTTAATGTCTGTGTGGACTTCAGCAAGGCCTTTTGCCTAAGTTTCACTTAACTGTTGGTAACATTAACAGTTGCCTTAAGAGTTTTGTGTTTGATAAGGCAAATATATATGTAAATGTTCAGATAGCTAGGCACTTAATGTCAATTGAAAAGGATTCATTTCTAATATTATAACATCTATTACAACTTTATTTATTTTATTTTTTTGAGATGGCATGTCACTCTTGTTGCAATGGCACGATCTTGGTTCACCACAACCTCTGCCTCCCGGGTTCAGGTGATTCTCCTGCCTCAGCCTCCTGAGTAGCTGGGACTACAGGCGCGTGCCACCATGCCTGGCTAATTTTTTGTATGTTTAGTCGAGAGGAGGTTTCACCCTGTTAGCCAGGATGGTCTTGATCTCCTGACCTCGTGATCTGCCCACCTTGGCTTCCTAAAGTGCTGGGGTTACAGGTGTGAACCCCTGTGCCCGGCCATCTAATTTCAAATTTAAAAAGCTGTTACTTGGGTCCACATTATTAAATCATGTCCCGACTTCTGGCTTTGATACCCTGAACCTTGGTTCAGATGGACTTTGTTAGGGAATACCGTCATTATGGTAGATTACACTAATGACCCCGATTCTGCACATCTCCCTGTACCTACATCTTTTACGGTATGGCTTTGCAGTTTCTCTTACTAAAGAGGCAGAGTATATTTCCCCACCTCTTGTGTTTGTGTTTGGCCGTGTGAATGACTTGTTTGGCTAACAGAATGACCGAGTTCTGAACCTAGACCAGAAAAGACTTCATATTTCTTTTGCTTCTCTGCCACTCTCTGGGACAAACATACCTTAAATATCCCACTGGTCCATGTGTATCCCTGAGAAGATGGCAAATGGAGCAGGGCTACCTCAGGCAATTGACAAACTTATAGTAAGAGGCAGAGCTGCTCTAGGTGCTGTAGCTTGAATCACAGTTGTCTGGCCAAGCCTAGATCAGCCCAACTTCTAGCTGACCTGAAGATGTGTGAGCAATAATAAATGTTGTTTTCGACCCCTTTGTTAGGCAGCAATAGCTAACCATTACACTTGGCAGTGTAGGGGAGATATCACCAGGGGAAGATTGGTTGCCAAGAAAGCTCACCAAAGTAGAATTTTTCTTGGGGAAATTACCTTGGTCCAGGGTCCAATTCCTAGTTTAACAAGCTCAAACCCAATCTAAACGACTAATATATTTACACATTGAGAAATATAATTTTCAGGTAAACTAATGCTTGCATTAGCCTGTGGAACACATACTCTCTCTCTGGGCAAAAAAGATTTATCAGCATAGAAGAATGAAAGGAATTATTTATATGATTTAAAAGCTTAGGATTTGATAGCCTGCTGTGTCCATCTTCACAACAAACACCTACCTATTAGACAGACAAATATATCAACCAGACAGGGTACCTTTTATTCTTACTGGTGCTGGGATGGGGCTTTGAATTTATAACTTTAAAAATTTTCCTTTCCTAGGCCTGACTACCTTCCTTTTGTTCCAAACATTTTTCTTCAAATAGTGGACCAGAACTTTGTCATTGTCCCCTAATATCCATTCTCCACTTCTTTTGGTGATAGAATCCCTGAATTTTAACTAGACAGATGACCCCTACCCATTATCTAAAGACTACTTCCAGCCTCCCTCATAGACTGATGTGTCCTTGTGACTAAGTCCTGACCAATGGGTCACCCAGTCTTCTGCTGGCACAGTGGATGGGGCTGCATCTTATGGAGTCTGTGTCCAAGAGTTCCAGGTGGAGGCCAGTAGTGAAGGGAATGGGTGTCGTAAATAGAGCTGCAAACACTGGGTATCCCTCTTACCCTAAATATATATTGCTTACCCAAGTGTCAGACTCCCGAGATTTCATCATTGGGAACTGATTTCCTTGGATTACCCATTGTTCCTTTTATTCAGCTTTCTTTTAAAATGCAAATATTCTTGGGGTGGATAATAAACTCGTTGCTACTAAAACTTTACTATGAACACACTTTGTGGTTCTTTCTTTCTGACAGAGGGGGGTCTGGATTATTCTAAGATCTCTTGAAGGAGGGATGGGGAAGAGCATCTAACCCTGAGTAGGACTGCCATTTGGACAACGCAGAAGGGACAAATCCTTAATCATTTCTTTTCTATTACATAGAAAATGGAATGAAAGTGAGGGAGGTTGGCACTGGGATTATGTACATGTGTAAAACATAGGCATGTGAAGCCAGTTATTCACAGACGTAGAAGCAACTCATTTCTGACTTCAGACATGTTCCAGAAATGGACCAAACCAAATTTTGCTAAAAGGTTTTCGTATTAAAGCAAGTAGACTTTAAGTTTTCAAAACTGCCTTTTCATTCCTGTTTCCTTATTGTTTTTGCTACTGGTCTACAAGACACATAAAAACCCTTGTTTCTTGCTTATCTGATATTCATAATATAGATCTAACATAGAAATTCTGGAACTACCTTTGAAATGAAAATAAGATAAATGGGAGTTTGAGAATGTGATAAGATGAAAGAGATGATTATGGCGTGGCGTCAAAGAGTAGTACCCAGGAAGTAAAACAAACACAGACATTCAGTAGCTGGCAAGATTCATAGAAGTCTGCATATTTAACTTTTATTTCTTAGTTTATTTTAACACAAGTATTCAGTAACTGGTAAAACGCCTAGAAATCTGCATATTTAACTTGTATTTCTTTGTCTTCTAGAATGAGGCCAGTGATCCTAATGATCCTGACCTAAGAGAAGGTTATTTCCAAAGTGAAGATATAAGTGAGCCATCCTCTGCCACGTATCAAGCAAATTAGTCCAAGGCTCTGACTTCTTCTTGGTCCTTTTCATCTGACTCCGTTACCACTTTCCTGTTGGTAGTAACGTCAGTCAGTTCCAATACACAGAACTCTGTCATTGTGAATATGATGTCGCATGAAAACAACTTTTGAAAATTTCCCCAGTAAAAATCCACTGTTGTGGATTCTGACTATGTTTTGGGTTTTGCAACCAAGTATAAACTTGGATGTGGGAGAAGTGGTTGTGGTGCTGTGAAGCGTGGACTGGAGGTGCAGGAGCCCTCCTATCCTAAAGGTATTTTGTTTATTCAAGAGTCAGACTCCTGAGATTTCATCACTGGTAATTGATTTCTTTGGATTGCCCATTGTTTTATTTATTCAGACTTCTTTTAAAATGCAAACATTCTGGGATGGATAATAAACATATTGCTACTAAAACCTTACCATGAACACACTTTCCAGTTCCTTCTAACAGAAGGTGACCTGGATTATACTAATATCTGTTGGAGGAATGGTAAGGGGGCGTCTGTGTATGTAGGGGAGTTTTACACAGAGAGGAAAAGACAGAGGCATGAAAAAGAAGGCAAAGTTAAAAGTATTTTACAATTGTGTCTATAATATTTAGAATAGTTTTTAAA